TCATGACAGGCAATGCTAAAGCACCTGTTTCTTTTCCCATAAACGAATTGGGGAACAAATATTGGGGTGTATAAACTCTCAAAAAGGAAAAGAGTCTTCTGAGTATTTTCCAGTTATCAGTTCTTTCCAGCAGTGGCCAGTGTGGATAGAGAAAGAAAGAACGCTTACTAAGAGCTTACTCTCTTTAAGTTTTAATTCTGGGTGTTGTTTCTGGGTGTTTAGATGTCCTGGGTACATACAGTAAAGTAAAGGGTAGCCATAAGATCTATACACAGAAGAAAGCATTAAATAGGAAAGGATAAATGACAAAGTCTCAGGGTAAGACTCTGTAAGACTTTGATTGGCAGCGCTGAAGATAGCTCAGTTTAAGAGTCCTTGCCTAGTATGCAGGAGGCCCTGGATGTGTTTCTTAGCATGGCATAAACTGGATGTAGTGGCATATCATTGTAACCTCAGCACTTAGGAGTTAGACACGGTAGGATCAGAAGTTCAAGGTCATCCTCTACTACGGAGTGAGATTGAAGCCAGCATGGCTACTGGAGACCTTATTGCAATAAAACCAAACCAGACAACCAGAAAGGTCACAATTGCCTCACCATCCTTTCTATTTTATAAATTGAGATATATCCATGTGACCTATGGATGGGGGCTTGGGGCAATGTTTCTGGTTTGTCAGCTCCCTGCTAAGAAGCTTGGTGAAGCTCTGAGTAGCCTCCAGGAGTGAACCCCTCTTTCTTGAGATCTTGCAAAGGTGTTTTTCTTAAAAAAAAAAAAATCCTTGAACATTTTAGATTGTGAAAATGAAAATTCTTGAAATACGCAAGCTTTCAAACCAGACTTTCATAGACTACTTGGGTAGGAGGCCAGGAGAGGAACAAATAGCTTCTTGACACACAGATTTGTCACTACAAAGAGAAGCAAGTCTACAAGCACGACCTTGAGATCAGAGGGAAACAGATCCCAGAAGGAGTTCTAGTAAGCCAGGGATGGTGATTGGAAACATATAGTGTTACAGCTGCTGTAAAGGAAATGAAGCAGTGGGCACGCGCAGAGGAAGCTGACCCTCAGTTCCCTTCCGTGAGCTTTGAGAGCATCAGGGCCCCAAGGCCATCATGGGGGCTTTTGGTGTGAGGGAGAGCACTGGACAGAAGCAATATCGGGAGATCGATCTGAACAGGACAGGGCCTTAAAGGGAATGGGAAGCTTCCCACTGAAGCTTGGAAGGAAGCTTTTCTGAGGGGGGGAAGGGAGGAGGGAGAGAAAGCGAGCTGCTGTGTGAAGGACTGGGGGTGAAGGGTGTTGGTATCCAGAGCCAGCTTGGTAAATGGCTCTAAACTCAGGAATGTCACACATAGGTGACATCTGTTGCCATGACAACCCTGCATACCTTCCCAGAGCCCACTTCTCACACTCATCTGCGAACAGGCTAGTCACAGCCTAAATAAAAAAGCAGACTTTTCCCCACCTTTGACCCTTTCCCCCCCTTGTCTTTCTCTCTCCCCTCTTTGTCCTATTCTTTCCGAATAAAACTCCTGCCATGTGGTCTATCCAGATCCAAGCCGCCATTCCACACATCAAAGGGCACAGAGGAGATTCTTCAGAGATCAGCCTTCAGGACCAAATCCCTCCAAAGAGTCTTGAGCCAAATTTGAGTCCAGAACAAAGGAAAGATTTGACATTTTATAATCTTTCAGGGCTAAAGGGAAATTTCACATCATGTGATTTAGTTGAGCATAGCCTACCATGATAAGTAGCCTGGAGGAGCCAGGTACCTTAAATTGAGAGCTGTCAAGTCCACAGCACAGGCTGCCTCTTAAGTTTCCATCCCAGAGAAAAGCTGCAAGTCAGTGTTGCCTGATTCTGGCTTTGGCATCTGGTCTAATGTTGCAGGCAGGGTGGAACACTAAATTACTAACGCACTAATGTGTGAGACAGTGTGATTAGTGATTCAGAACCTAGGTTCTGCCAGGCAGTGGTGGCATATGCGTTTAATCCCAGCACTTGGGAGGCAGAGGCAGGCGGATTTCTGAGTTCGAGGCCAGCCTGGTCTACACAGTGAGTTCCAGGACAGCCCGGGCTATAAAAGAGAAACCCTGTCTTGAAAAAACCAAAAACCAAACCTAAACAAAACAAAACAAAAAAAACAACAACAAAAAAACAGAACCTAGGTTCCCATCGCGAAGGCCTAGCTGGAACTTGGCGAGGGCTGGCCTCATTTACTAGCCACGTGACTTCAGACTAGTGTTAATGCTTCACGTTCTCTGGTTTTTCGATCCATGCGTGGGTGTGATACGAGACAGTACCCAGCACTGTTGGGAGAGTCAGTGACTTAGCACATGCCTTGTTCCAGCAACATTCAGTAGGTGTCTCATAAATGCTTGCCATTATCATCATTGTTACTTTCTACAATGCTTGATACCGACACTTGGCACCATCTGCATGCAATTAATTTTATTTTGAGATGGCGACTTACTATGTAGCCCAGGCTAGCCTCAAAGTCACCATCTTCCACTCTCTGCCTACTGAGTGCAGGGATTATAGGCTTGCATCCCTATGCCCAGGTAATCAGAACACACCCAACTATTTATAGGGAGTAAAGGATGCCGTAAGAGGTTCTGCTATGCTGAATACTTTATTTATATTTTTATGTAAACATAATTTGCTTTGTAGGCACAATATAACAATATAACAAAAGCTCTGAAGCCACAGACACATTAGACGATGTTCGGTTCATTCTAGTAAAGCTCAGCCTTCCGAGAAACCTTCGAAGCTCCCTTAAGGCAAACATATACACTCTTTACATTTCCTCCGGGAAACAATCACGAGACGGGAAGGAAAGTCCACGGGATAACTGACCGATTCCAGTTGTCCCTCACCCACCCACCCTCCTGTTCTTCATGGTGACGCCGCTCACACTCAAATGTTCTCCTTATGTGTTCTCAAGAGAGGGAGAGGGTTTTCATGGGTGATCAATGGTTTTCAAAACAAAACAGGTTTGGGGAGAGATGTCTTCCCAATGCTTCTCAGTTGTACGTGACAAGACTATCTGGATTCTGAATGTGGGTCAGGTTCTGTGTCCCCTGAAGGCGAGTTTTCCTGACTCATGGCCTTTAGCCTGTCCAAAAGGCTATTTCTACATACTAGCAATAGCACTCAGAAAGTGGTCTTCAGGTCTACCCATGGTTGAGCATGGTTACGGTGGAAATGTGACTGATTATGTGGTATTTATCAACAGGTTATCATCTCTCTCGATAGCATCTCTCCCCAGGGGTAGAAAATAAGAATCTGTGATTGGCACTCTTTCAACAAATTCTTGCCCCTTGACCTATTGGCTGGTGGCTCCTTCTCTCGTCTTCATATTTGACTTTCCTAGTCACAGTGAGGAAAGACTCCCTCCAGGTAAATATTTGGCATGAAGAAGTCATCATCACAGAATCAGGACGGAGATAAAGGAATGTGGCGGGTGACAGAAGACTGGCTACAGAAACTTTGCAAACCAAGCGGGGGAATTGAAGCCGTGTTCCTTCCCAGTCCAAGAGGGAAAACGGTGCCCGCTGAAGCAGTAAGTGGAAAAAGTGGGCAACACTTGAACCCTCTTAAGTCTTCAAGGATGTTTAGAAACTCGGAACACCAACCCAAGGTCATGGGAGCTCACTTAGGTCTTCCAGAAAACAAAATAAGTTCAGGGTGCTCACTGCATGGGTTCCTTTGATACCTAGCTTGGTTCGTGAGTGGCAGATGTGTGACCTCTTAGGACAGAAGGGCTGGGGAAGGTGGCAATATGGAACCCCACTTTGGAGGAAGGGAGACTCCTCTTCCTCTGTGGTAACGCATGTCATTTCGAAGCCTATTAGAAACGGCGAGGATGTTTCTTTCAAGCTGTAAAATTGAACAGGGTCTTTGATCAAGCAGTTTGGCTCCCAATTTTTAAGGAACCTACAAATCAGCACCATGGTTTTGTGTGTTGGAGTGGAGGACCACGCACTTGGCATCAGATGCTGGGCAGCCACCATCTGTATCCCTAGTGCAGGTTACACATTAGAAAGTGCTTTGAGTAGGCAAGAGAAACCAATTGACTTATCAATCCCAAATATGGTCTTCAAGGGAGCTCTTCCTTGGGGAAAGTGTTTCCTGGGCAGGAACTTAACAATAGCAGTTGGTAATTGCTAAAGGCTGAGGGCAGGAACTCAGGTGAGTTTAATGACATCTGAGTTAGGCTACATTTGGGACGTTTTCTTAGGATTTTGATAAGCCATGTGTGGACATAGGGAGGACTTTGCTCATGAGTATGGTTTCAGAGGAAAGGTCTCTGTAGCTGGCCCTCAGATAGATGCCATTGACCCATCTCTATCCAGGAAAGAACCCACATCTGCCTCCCTCAGTTTATAAATAAGAACCAGGGAAGAGGGTTAAAGAGAGGCTCAAACCTTAAGGTGCAGAGACACATGCAGGGATATAGCATTTAAGAAAAAAAGTGACAAAGAAACTGCTTGGAGAATTCTGTCTGTATAGGGTTGTGAATACTCCTGGCCTACTCTCTTGCCACTAGACAGACTGATAAGTGCCATGGTTAGAGGCATGGCTGATTGCTGGCAGGCAAAGAGTGTCATTGGCCTGAAGAAGAGTGGGATTTGAACAGTGCTCTGTGACAACACCTTTCAATCAAACGTGGCCTGGTTTCTGACATTGGGCCCTGTGGGCTAGTATTAGTTTGCAAGGCTATTCTAGAACTGTCAAGAAGGACCCGAAGAAGGATGGGTTTGTTTCAAGGGAGAGGGAGAGCGTGATACACAGACCAGGAAGGGACACAATACTGCATGGGATGGGATTGGCACTTAATTCCAAACACAACAGTGATCAACAGCTTCTTAGCTTGGCTGACTGCAGACAAACACGACACACACTGGACTACAGCATTTGTTCACTGGGGCACAGAAGAGTTCTCCTGGTGGCCATCTTCTTCCCAGCCATCCTCCATCTTCTTGGATGTGAGGTCTGGCTTACTGGATGAAGGGCATTCTCTCTTTGTTTTCGCTGTCACCTTCATGGTCCTCTTCTTCCTCCCCTGCCTCGCTGGTCTCTGTGCTGTCATTGGCCATCTGCAATTCAACAGAGGTCATGATGGAGGCCATGTACCCACTCCCTCACCACCTCTGAGCATTGGATGAAGCATCATGGGATGGGTTGAAGCATCATGGGATGGACTTCTTTCAGATTGGTCATTCCTATAGGAGGAAGTCCTTCTGAGGACTCCTTCCATACCTTTTACTAGTACCTGCTAAGGCCCTGCTGCTACTTTTAATATCACTTAATAGCCTTGGAGATGACCTCCTTGCATCCATCCTGAATCCCATGATGTTCTGGATTCAGCTTGACTTCATGTTGTCATCCCTTCAATTCTAGCCTTCTATTTTAGATGCGATGAGACATCTTCCCCACCACTGAAGCTTCAAATACCCATTCTTCACTGTCTCTTTCTTCCTTTGGGTGTCAGGGTAAAAACATTCCCAGAAAACAAGAACAGTAACTTAACAGGGATAGAGCTGAGCTCTTGGCCTGAATTGGGAGCATCTTTTGGCCTTAACGTGATGGGTTCTGACCCTTGGTCAAGTAGACCTAACCTTAGACCAAGGACCAGCAGGATATCATGGGTTCATGGAGACAAGCAGTACCTTTGCATGGAAAGCCAGTGCCAGATATTTTGTTTAAATGCAATAGTTGGCCAGGGCAGCTCTAGAACCTTCTATGCATGGGAGTGAAAGAGACCTATTTACATAGACCACAGTGTATTTGCAGGGGAGTCCTTGAACCCTAGTTCTTTCTTCGTAATCCCATGCTATCATTCTCCTCTTCAACAGCCCTGTGACTTTCGTGTCCTAAAAACTATATCCATACTGTTATCAGCAGCTTAAGTGGCACAAAATGACTCTCTCTTTAACTGTCTTCTATGGAGTGAAATGGCCTTTATACCTGTACTACAGAAGACAACGATCTGTTTCTGAAAATATACACTTGGACTGAAGCCATGGACCATTTTACTCATTTTACTTATATTTCTTGAAAGTGACAGATACTGCTACACAAACCTCCTCCTCTCTGTTTAGCTTACCTAGAACTTAGGATGGCCAGCCACACTCAGTGACTGCCTTTCTAACTGACTGGGAAGAACCTGTCAATCTCTAGCTTGTAAACAGGACCAAAGCTGGTGCGCAAAAGCAACTTTCCCAGGTTGCAAACGGGACTGAGTACCAGGCTTTGAATGCAAGCAGTCGGAGACTGTGGGCTAAGGGCTACGTCATATGCTACCTCTCCCCAAAAGCAGATACTTTGGGAACAGGTAAATCTGATATGCTGTATTCTTGTGGATTGCCTGGATATTAGGACTTTTATCCAGATGAAAGCAAGTGAATTCAAGAGAAGTATCAGGAGGCATCCTAGAGGCATTGGGCAGCATTCTGTAGGGCCCAAGAATGTGCGTTAAGATTAACTAGGAAGCCTTTCCATTGGTTCCTAGAGATAACAGCTGCAAACATTTTTTTTTCCTATCCATTTACAGTCTGTCCTCACTCAGCAATTTTCCTGTCTTTCTCAAACACTTTCATTTTTCCATCTCCACTTTCGTTAGTCCATAGCTAATTCCTCATTCTGGCATCAAGTGATTACTCCTAGTCTCTCGGAACTTGTAAGCTGCCTGTATTTCCTTGGACACCAGCTGTGACTACTCCTGAGGATCCATCGGTTTGTCTTTGATGTTGAGCTGGGTAGTTTCCTTAACATTCCACTTACCAGCGGGGTCGGGGTCTTTTCCACATCCAGAATTAACTTCCCGATGTTCCCTCGGTCGTGGATGCGCTGCATGGCTTCCTTTACCTGGAACACAAGGTTAGAAGTTAGTGAGATCAGGCTTCCGGAAAATGTGCCTAAAGAAGTCAATCCACCGACCATCCACCAGAGGGCGCTGCAGCTAAAATAGTGGTTCAACCAGCAGTTCTTTGTGGTGCAAATCTATTCAATCACGCAAGCTGACTTGTCTGTAAGTCTTCTGGGTCTGAAAAATAAGGGTTATAGTTTTCACAACGAGAGGATAAAAATATATTTTATAAGTCAGAATGGTCTGACGGAATGTTAAACAATAAGAGTGTTTGTGAGGGTCATCTGAGACCCGCCAATGTAAGTGTTACGTAACTGCTTCATGATTTGACTAAATAAACTAGTTACCATGGCAAAACCCGCCATTTGTGAAATGCCCTAACTTTCCAATTGCTGGGATGAAACTGCTTCCACCTAGCAGGTACTCTCTTCTGAGGTGCATCCTTCCTAGAAACTAGGATCTATGGTTTCCTTTCCCATGTCCAGGCGCTTATCAGATTCCAGAATGTCACTGCGGGACGGGAGGGGGACGAAGATGAAGGAAGGTGATCCTCTGGGAAGGGAAAACCCATTTGTTCTGAGCCTTTCTGTCTGCTGCTGTGCAGAACGTGAACTGCAGGGGGCGCTGTGGGGATTAGTGGAGAAGACAACTGAACCTTGCCTGCTCTGCATGTCTCAAGTGAAAGTTAAATAGGGATGCCACATCTCTTGCTTCACAGAAGTCAATTTATAAAAACTTATAATAGGTGGAGTCTAAATATTTTTGTAAGGTCTCACAATTTTAATATTCTTGCTCTTTCAGCTTCAAGGCTAGATGCTCTGACATTCTTTTTTTAAAAAAAGTCAGACATAGTTAACTGCATGTAGGGAAATCAGCCTGTGGCTGATGGAGAAATGTTTGCTTGTTTGAAAATCAAAGGCTCCTATTCATTTGGATCCAAACTCACAAAACCATTAAAATGTTTGTGTTCAAATTGCTTTTCTGGGGCTTTAGAGACACAATTCCATTTATGGGAGAAAAACATAAAAGATAATGGCTTTGTCGTGTTTAGCGGCAAAACACTGAAACAGCTTATGTGTCGCCATAAAGGGATGGGTAAATAAACAATGGCTTTTTACATTCCTCTACCCGAGTGGGGATGTTGCATAGCTGTTTAAGGAAAAGAAAGCTATATGCCGCTAATTATAAAGGAGACACAGCAGGATCAAATGCTTTTGTAATCTTGCTAAATGAGAAAAACTGAAAGAAGTACCTTTATTTACACCTCTATAAAAATGTAGGTATTATAAAACAGCTAGGAAGGCTTACAGGTGCGCCTTGAAAGTTAGGGGAAGGAGAGGAGGGTGTTTTGACTCTATCTATCTTCCATATAATGTTACATAGTCATGTGCTGTCAAATCAACACTTAATATAAATTTAATGGGTCTTTCCAATGCAGGGTTGGTTTTTTTTTTGTCTCTTTGTGGTGAGGAACAACATGTTTTTTAAACTGATAATGTCACGTGATTCTTGATTTTTTTGTTTTTGACCCCGAGAAAAAACCAGTTGAGTCCTTCCATTTACATGGTGACTTCTGAAGTATTTTCACACTTGGTCATAAAAACCGATACCATGGTTGCCCCTGGGTATCTGTGGCAGGTTGATTCCGAAGCTCTCCATGGATTCCAACATGTGTGGGTGCTCTTGTATAAATCAGCGTGGTAAGCATCTGTATAGAACCTACACGCATTTCCCCATAGACTTTAAGGTTTTTTTCTAGGTTATTTGTACCACCAAATACCACGTGATACTGTGCTGTTCTACCATAGAGCGAATCACGACAGCAAATCAAAGTCTTCATATTCATGTATTCCTCCCCTCCCCCCAGTTATTTCCTCATCAACGTTTGCCGAAACTGCGGATGTAGAATCTGTAGATGAGGCGGGCTCACTGTGCTTACCGAAAAGCTCTAGGTTGTGACAGATGGTTGCTAGTATGTTTCGTTGCCCCTTGTGGGAGTCATATCCCTGGATTATTTTCTCCTTGAGTGTCGGCTGGAGCTAGGGGACCTGCTTCCCTGCAGAGCACAGCGGAAGTGATGGGACTCTCCTTTTCAAGATGATGTTACAAAAGGGCACAGCCATCTACACTGCAAGGACTCCAGAGCTGCATACTGCATTAACGGGGGGCTGCCCTGTGGAATCCCTACACGACAGAGACCTCTAAGATGAATTCCATTCAATAGCCAGTTAAGAACTGAGACCCTTAGCCATTCTGAGGAACTGAATCTTGCCAACAATCCCCAAAGAACTTAGAAGTAAATACTTGTCCAATCAAACCTTGAAATGAGATCATATTTCGGCTGACATCTTGACTGTAGCCTTGTGGAAGCCAAAGGACCCAGCTAAATCATACCTGGCTCCTGCTACCCTGTCCTGAGCTTATGAAGTCACAAATGCTTTTACAGTTGACAGGGTTTTTTGGGGGGCAGGGGTAAGTGAAGTTATAAATGTTTAACAGCCTCCTACTTTGCATATGTAATGCTTAGCTTGCCAGATTCATATAGTGCCCATTTTAAGGGTAAGTGACCTGACGCTAAAGGACATAAGTAATTTATTCAAAGATGACATGGCTACCGGGAACAGAGTGTGGTTGGAGAGAGTTCAAATCCAGCATTTCCCCCTCAATTTTACCTAGAGCAGATTGTTTCACTTGGTTCTCAGAAGTAGAAGGACTCTCACAATGCTCCTCTTGGGTATTAGGAACCCCAGGTACCTCCTGCACAACCAGGCAAATGCTCTACTACTGGTCTCTCACCCTTAGCCCATTCATGGTGGATTCTGGCAAAACACTTGACCACTGCTCCCCAGTCCCACATGGTCAGATTCTAGGCAAGCGCTCTACCACTGAGTCACACCTCTATCTCCTCATTGGTGAATTCTGACTAAGCACTGCACTACTGGGCCATGTTCTTAGACCTTTCCTGATGGTTTCTACCCTGGTACTCTACTGCTGATTTAACCCCTAACCCCTTACTGACAGATTGTAGGCAACTGATCTACCACTGAGCCATGTCCCTATGTACTTCCTGATGTATTCTAGGCAAATGCTCGACCAACAAGCCACACCCCAGCCTACTTTTTACTTTTAATTTGAGACAGGGTTTTACTAAATTTTCCCAGGGTAGCCTGGAACTCAGTCTGTAGTCCAAGTAGACAATGAGTTTATAATCCTCCTGTCTCAGCATCTGGAACAACCACGATGACAGGAGACAGGCACACTTTAAGCTGCTTCTGTACTAAGCTAGAGTCCAGGGGGAAAAAAAAAAGCAAAGAACTGTTTTCTCACTAGTTGAAGTGAATCGTGATGCTTGAGGGGTTAGGAGAAGCCCCCCTGTAGGGTTGTCTTTAATCTGCATAGTTTTGGAAATTTCTCTCTGAAATGAAACGTTGCCTTGAAGCTGTCTGCAGAAAATGGATAAAGGGCCAGGAGTAATCTCCAGAGGTCATTTAATTACCCCCACCCCAGTCCTGCTGTCAGACTCTCCATGCTCTTTTAAGGATGCTCCTGGAGTTGTGCAGGAGCCCCACTGGCAGAGGCTTAGAAGGAAAGAGACTACTACTTTTGATCAATTCTTTATCAGGCGCCGTGTGTAGCACTTTGCACGCATGGAGCTGTTTCATCTGTACACCGAGCTTCTTGAGGGAATGTCTGCATCGCCTTTTCACAGTCCGGGAAGAAACACAATGAGGAAGCCTCTGAGAGGTTTGCTTCTGGCTGTCACTTAGAAGGGAGCACTGAGTGGTAGGCCTGAGTACCAGTTGCCTCTTCTTAGGACTCTGGGCAAAACCCATTACAGGGCTGTGTTGGCCACACCCCAAGAGCGTGCGGATGCTCCTGTATGGAAAGGCTAAACACAGTATTATACCTTGTCGGGCATAGGTGGGAGAGGAGAGCCTTGGTCCCATGAAGGCTGGATACCCCAGTGTAGGGGAATTCGAGAGCAAGGAGGTGGGAGTGGGTGGGTGGGGGCACATCCTCATAGAAACAGGAGGAGGGGGAATGGGATAGGGGGTTTCTGGGTGGGGGAGAAATGAGGAAAGGGGATAACACCTAAAATGTAAATAAAATCTCCAATAAAAAAATAAAGTATAGAGAAAAAACCCCAAAGCCAACCAAAGGAACAAACAGACAAACAAAAGCAAATTTATCAGCTTATAAAGGGTCCCCTAATAGGTGATGTTCTTCAGATGTTTAATAGCCCCTGGGGAGATTTGTCTCCCCGAACATTTACTGGGGAGTCCCTAGAAAGACTATCCTAATGTCCCTTTCTGTTTGAAACCAACATTGCATTAAAAATAGAGTCAAGGAGGCTTGGCTCACCTAACCCAGTAGCTACAGGTCACCTGTGACAACTGCCACACAAGGTCACTGTAAAATTCATACCAGACTTCAAAGATTTAGTACTTATGAGGCCACCCGAGTGCAAAAATAGGGGCTGGAGAGACAGCTCAGTGGTTAAGAGCACACGATGCTTTTGCAAAGGATCAGAATTTAGTTCCTAGCACCCATACTAGGCATTGGGTGGTTCTCAGCTGCCTGTACCTCCACCACTGGGCTGAATCAGTGCTCTCTTCTAGACTCCACGGCTATCTGCACACATACTACATGCACATACATGTGTGTGCACATGTGCACATGTACACGCACACACTTTAAAAACCCTATAAATTAAAAAAAAAACTGAAAAGGTATAAAATATCTTACTGAGAACTGCGGACAATGCTTAAAGATTAAAATTATAATATTTAGACCTTGGCTCAAGGAAGACACATTTAACTTATCTTGTCCTTTTCTGAATGTGACTGCTGGAACATTCCAAAGTTTCACTGGTGGCTTGCCAAGTGCACTGCTGCTCTAGATGGAGGCCCCAGGAGCGATGTCTGTTACCCTAGTGGCCAAAATCCTTCCCTCAATTCTAGCACCCTTTACCTCACAACTTAAGATATGCCTGAAGCTC